AGAAAGAAAGAAAGAAAGAAAGAAAGAAAGAAAGAAAGAAAGAAAGAAAGAAAGAAAGAAAGAAATATCTGGGCATGGTGGTACATGCCTTCAATCCCAGGCTCAGGAGGCAGAGGCAGGTGGATGAAGGGATCTATTGGCTACTTGCTGTGGTGGCACATGCCTTTAATCTCAGGACTTGGGAGGCAGATCTCTGTGAGGTCAAGACCAACCTGGACTATGTAGTGAGTTCCAGGCCTGCTGGAGCTTCAGAAAGACCCTGTCTCAAAATGACAAAAAATTATAGAGGTCTCTTGGCTGCTTAGCAAGTTCAAGGTTAGTCTGATGTTATGGTTATTATTCATTGTCAACTTGACAGGATCTAGAGAGGACCTCTCTCTAGGGAGATGAAACTTTGAGCACTCCTGTGGGGGACTATCTTGATTATGTTAATTGATGTGGGATGACCCATCTTGATTGTGGAAGGGACCATTTCCTGAGCAGGAAACCCAGGACTAAGTGTAAGTGGAGGGAGGGAGCTGAGCACTAGCAGCATGCATTTATCCCTCTCTTTTTCATGTGGATACTACATGACTAACTGCTTCAAGCTCCTGCTTCCCTCTCTTCCCACCATGATGGGAACTTTGAACTAAAATAAACTCTCCCTCAAGTTGCTTTGGTCAGGGTATTTTATCACCGCAACAGGAAAAGAAACTAAGACACTTGGGCTACATGAGAACTTCATCTCAAAGAAATACAAAAAGATACCAAAAAAAGGCATGGTGGCACACACCTTTAATTCCAGCACTGAGGCAGAGGCAGGCAGTCTTTGAGATTGAGGTCAGCCTGATCTACATAGTGAGTTCCAGGCCTGCCAGAGCTACAGAGTGAGACCCTTTCTCAAAGAGAAAAACAACTGATGAGATGGCCTAGTAGGCAAAGGGGCTTGTCACTCAAACCTGATAGCTTGAGTTAAATCCTTGGAACTTGTGTGAAGGCAGGAAAGAAGGCTCTGAAAAGTTATCTCCTGACCTCCACACACACTGTGCCACACCTGTGTGCATGCACACAGACATAATAAACAAATAAATAAAAATACAAAAACCCTACCAAAACAAAAAGGAGTATGGATAGACTTGGAGGAGCAAGACTGAGGGCCCCTTGGAAGAGGATTAGGACAGATGCATTATCTTGTGGTACATCTTGAACTGAATTTTTTTTTCTTTTTTCTTCTTCTTTGATTTATTTATTTATATTTATGGGGCTTTTGGCTACTCTAACATTCTCCCCTCTGAAGAGGTAACACTAAAATATTTTAAGGATTAGATACAAGCTCCCAAATACTTTTGACATTTTTGGCCTTTGGAACGGAGTATCTCCCTAAGAGGCCCAAGAACATTTTGACTCTTAGCCAAGAAACTGGCCACTTTTCTTTGGGGTCTTTTTACCCTAACCCTAACAATTCCTACCTCCTATTCTCATCACACCATCCCCTGATTGCCCTGGAGGACCCCTTCAGAGGGTCTATCTAAAAGACTTCCAAATTGCATAAATCTTATCTCTAAGGGGAAGAGAAAGTCCTTGAATCATGAATGGATGTGAAGGAGAAGTAAAGGCAAGAGTAATTAGTATTACAAGTTCTAGACAGGGAACTAGAAAAAAGTCAGAACAGGGCAATTTTCAAATGCTCATATGCGAGTCCATTGGAATTTCTTCACAAAGGCTTTCAAAAGCATCCCTCTATTGGGTTCCTCCTCATTTTTCTTTTGTCTTCTGAGGCTGGATTCTAGAGTGATGGATTCAGGATTTGCTTTTCAGGTATTTTGATAGCTGTTGGAATGGTTAGAAACAGTGTCAGCTCCCTCTCAAAGGCTTCTAGATAGGGGAGAAAACAAATTTATCCATCATTTTAGAAAAATAGCTGGTTGTCTCCCTTATCTACAGATTTTCTTTTAAAAAAAATGTTTTTGAGACAGGGTCTCCCTGTAGACCCAGCTGATCTGGAACTCACTATGTAGACCATGCTGGCCTTGAATTCAGAGATCCGCCTGCGTCTACCTCCCGAGTGCTGGGACTAAAGGTGTGTGCCGCCATGTCCAGCCTGAATTTTTTTCTTAATTTTTAAAATTTTATTTTATGAATGGTTTGTCTGCATGTATGTAAGTGCACCACTTGCATGCAAAACCCTCAGAGGTCAGAAGGTGGCATTAATCTCCTGGAACTGGAGTTACTGATGGTTGTCAACCACCATGTGGGTGTTGGGGCCCAAACCGAAGTCCTCTGCAAAGACAGCCAGTTTTCTTAACCGCTGACCCATCTGTCCAGTCTCCCTGAATTTTTATTTTAATCTATTCCCGCACCCCATGGCACTCAGAGATCTAGAGGGAGGGTGTAGGGGGCTCAGAGGCAATGGCAGAGGGGGCCTTGGTAGCACCTTGGACAGCACTTTGCTGTCCGTGGTGCTGATCTCAGAGATGGCGTTGTTGGGCCTGACTAAAAGATGGTGCTGCCGTGTTTGGAGGGTTTTCAGTTAACCTCCACATGACCCAGCAATTCTACTCCTAGGTGTACCCTGAGAGGAACTTTAAGTAGGAATGCAAATAGATATTTGTTCTCAGAAGCATGATTCACAACAGGCAAAAGGTAAATTATCCAGATGTCTATCAGTGGAAGAATAAATAAGATGTGTTATACACACACAATAGAGTATCACTCAGCCATAAAAATGAAAGAAAACTATGATGTGGACTCCATTGTACATGAACTTGAAGACAATATGCTCAGAGAAATAAGCCAGACACAGAAGGGCACACTAGAAGTAGGAATTTATGCATAGAATTCCTTAGGGTCTTTAGACCCACAGACGAGTAGAATGGTGGGTACAGGGGTCTGGGGAGGGAGATTTGGAGTTAATGTTTAATAGGAACAGAGGCTAGGCATGGTAGCACACGCCTTTAATCCCAGCATTCGGTAGGCAGAGTCAGGTAGATCTCTGTGAGTTTGAGGCCACCCTGGCCAGCTGGGTTTCTAGGTAGACCCTGTCTTAAAAAAAAAACAAGCAAAACCTAAAACAGAACAAAACAAGCCGGGCGTGGTGGTTCACGTCTTTAATCCCAGCACTCTGGAGGCAGAGGCAGGTGGTTCTCTGTGAGTTCAAGGCCAGCCTGGGCTACATAGTGAGCTCCAGACCAGCTGGGGCTACAGGGAGACCCCCATCTCAAAAAAGGACAACAAACAAACAAACAAACAACAAACGGAGCAGAGACTTTGTTTGGGAAGATGAGAAAGCTCTGGAGATGGACGGTGGGGATCGTCGCACTATAATTTAAATGTAATAAATACTGCTAAACTTTACACTTACAAAGTGGTTAACAGGCTGGAGAGATGGCTGAGTGGTCAGAGCACCTGTAGCTCTAGCAGAGAACTGGAGTTGACTTCACAGCACCCACATTGGGCAACTCACAGCTGCCTATAACTTCAGCTCCAAGAGACCTCCTCTGGCCTCCGTGGGCACCCGCATGCTTGTGCACATACCATCACACAGACACTCACACACATAAGAAATAAATCTTAGGCTGGGTGTGGTGGAACACTCCTTTAACAGAGTCAGAGACAGGCAAATCTCTGTGAGTTCAGGGCCAGCCTGGTCTACATAGTGAGTTCCTGCAATGCCAGGCCTACATAGTGAAACTCTATCACAAAAATAAATAAATGAAGGAAGGAAGGAAGGAAGGAAGGAAGAAAGAAAGAAAGAAAGAAAGAAAGAAAGAAAGAAAGAAAGAAAGAAAGAAAGAAGAAAGAAAGAAAGTGACTGCAGAGATGGCTCAGTGGTTTAGTCAAACCGGCATTTCCCCCACCTCCAGGCAGCCTGGCTCCATGGCCTAAGATCTTAGTAGCTGAAACTGTGAGCAAGATCCTGAGATATACCTCAGTCCAACTCATTCTGCGAAGCCTCATTTAGGTACCCAGTGGGGAACAATGCATGGAACCCTCTTATCTTTTGCAGTACTGGGGAAGGAACTCAGGGCCTTGCATATGCTATGGAAGTGCTCATCATGGAGCCATGCCTCAGCCCCTCACTGGGGGATTCTAGGCAGGGGCTCTACCACTGTGCCACACCCTGTCCACCACTGGTAATGCATGCAGTTGTCTGAGATCAGAAGAGGGTATTGGATCTCCTGGAGCTGGAGTTGAGTCTGTTGTGAGCCACCTGACATGGGTGCTGGGAATCGAACTTTGGTCCTCTGTAAGAGTAGTATGCACCCTTAACCCCTGAACCAAGTCTCCAATCATCAGCTATGGGAACTTAATAGGGAAAGTAAGGGTTGTCAGAGGGAACACTGGCACATCCATGACCCTGGCAGGAAGGGACAAAGAGTGTTCTGAGCCTGTCTGAAGCCAGCGTGTAAGAGACACATGAGGGAATTCTCACAGCAGGGGAATAAGCTCCAAGCAGTTTCTGATCTTAGCACAGACAGTGGGGTGAGGTGCTCCCTGAAGCCCAAAGACAACACCAGGCTGCTTCCAAGAGGTCATAGTTTACTGGGGGATGGGGTGACATAGTTGGTCCAAGGTTATCAGTGCAGTTCTGCCCTCCCCTCAGGGATAGAGCAAGCCAGTCCAGTGAGTGGGCTTCAGGGCTAAGGGGGCAGGGCCCAGGAAGTGTCACAGTTATAGCAGCAGGTGAACAGGTTCGAGCTCCCCCACAGGCCCATCTGAAACCTAGTCCAGGGACGGGGTCCCCCGTTGAGGTCCTCAGGCATCTGCCACTGAACTGGGGGGCTCCTGAGGCAGAAAGCGTCGTTGCCGGAGCACTGACTTCTCTTCCTCCTGTGGGGACAGACCACACACTGTCCTAGTTTGGTTTCTGTTGCTCTGAGAAAATACTGACAAAAACCAACCTGGGGAGGAAAGGGTTTATTTGGCTCACAGTTTCACAATCTATCATCAAGGGAAGCCGAAGCAGGAATTCAACACAGGAACCTGGAAGCACCCACAGTGGGCTGGGCCCTCCCACATCATTCAACAATCATGAAAATGCCTCACAGACATGCCCACAGGTCAGTCCATAGAGGACATTCCCCAGGTGTGTTAAGTTGACAACTGAAGCTATCCAGCACAGACACCAGAGTACAGACATCTACGGATGCTGTCACTGGGTGCATATCACCCAGTTTGTGATATCTACATGAGAGCCACAAACAGCCCCGCCCAACCCCCACCATTCAAAATCAATTTCACCTTAGGCCTGGATGTCTTAGCCCATGATTGTCAGCATTGGCTTGTCCCTCATGACACACTGTCTGGTACCAGGACATTAACTCATTGTGCTGGTTAGTTTTAATTGACAACTTGAGAAATCTAAAATCACATGGGAAGGGAGTCACAATGAAGGACTGTCTAGATCAGGCTGGCCTGTAGCATGTCTGTGTGGGCTTGTTTTGATTAAGTTAATGGAGGTGGGAAGACCCAGCCCACTATGGGTGGCACCAGGCAGGGGGTCTTGGAGTGGAGAAAGTGAGCTGAGCACTGGCGTGCATGTGCATACTGCTTTCTCCCTCTGAACTCAGACCTAATGTGACCAAATGAAGCTTCCTTGACTTCCCTGTGATGAACTGTGGCCAGGAACTGTGAGCTTATAAAAATGATTATTTTTTTTTATCTTTTGGAAATGCCTTCTTGTCACAAATGAGAATCTTTTTCTAAAATTTTTGCTTATTTTATTTTTATTTATTTTACATGTATGAGTGTTTTGCCTGCATGTATGTAAATGCACATGTACATGCAATACCCATGAAGGCCAGAAGAGGGCGTTGGATCCTCTAGAACTGAAGTTACAAATGGTTGTGAGCCACCATGTAGGTAATGGGAACCAAACCCGGGTCCTCTGCAAGAGTAGCCAGTGCTCTTAACCACTGAACCATCTCTCCAGCCCCACAAATAGGAATCTTATCTAACCTTGTAACCAAACTTAAACTTATGTTTTGAGATCATTTATCTCTCAGTTTGCTTAGAACGTACAACAGGTTTATTAGGCCTTGGGCTTCTTTTGTAACCAAATAATTTTAATTTCTCATGACCCTTCCTTGCCCCTGATCCAGAATAGTGTGTGTGTGTGTGTGTGTGTGTGTGTGTATGTGTGTGTGTGTGTGTGTGTTGGAAACATCGCTGCAAGCAGAGAATATCATTAGAAGCAGCAAATTATCCCCAGTTTTTGTTGCAAACAATAGGTAAGACTAGAATGATAACATCCGTTTGTGGCTGTGTAGTATATAGGGGTCAGAAGGGGAAATCCTTCCCTGATAAGACAAAGTTCCTTGTTTCCTTTCTTATATCATTAGCTCTAGAGAACAGCTCTGAGAGTACTGAGCAGGAACACGTTCTGAGTGGAGATCAGGCTCACATTTCCTTGTTTCGTTTTGTTTTGGTCTCCTTGTAGCCTCAGTCAGCCCGGAATTCACTTTGTAGACCAGGCTGGCCTTGAACTCACAGAGATCCATCTGCCTCTGCCTCCCTAGTGCTAAGATTAAAGGTGTGTGCCACCACCTTGATTTTAAACACCACCTTGATTTTAAACAATGCCAAAAGTCAGGTTGCCTCTGTTCAGGCACTGCCCCACTGTCCCATCTCTCTGCCACATGAGCTAACATAAACGCTTTCTCCCCAAAGTTGCTTCCCAGTTTTTAAAAATCACTGCAACAAGAACTGCAACTAAGACATCCATCACGCTATAACCTACACTCCTACGGTGTCAAGGACCTGTCTGGGTTACTGGTCACCTAGTACTCCCCAACACAAGATCTTGTCCAGTCCCCTCCCACTGCATGGGATGCTCTGGAACCCTTGGGTCACCTTGGGCAGCTCTTTCTTACCACTTCTGAGGTGGTGCTGGGGCTGGCACCCTCCGGGGAGCCCCCTTCATCCCTTGAGCACTCTGGTCCTGCATCTTCCTCGTACTCTGTCAAACAATCTGACTCCTCCCCTGCAATGGGAAGTAGGGTACAAGCGAGTGGACATGGGCTGATCCAACAGCTCCAGGATGCATGCCCAACTTCAGGACCACCATCCTTAATTCCCAAGGGTCCCTTTAGCCTCTCACCATCAGCACAGCCATCAGAGACGTAGCTCGTGGGGGGCTCAATCCGGGACACAATCTCCGCCAAGTCAGTGAAACCAGAGCTTGGGAAAGCCAGTATCTGCAGGGTGTGGGTAAGCTTTGGTGGTGGTGGTAAGTGGGGTGGTCTAAAGGGTCTTAGGGACTTAGAGGGGATTCTGAGGTGGTTCCTGAAGTCTAAGGGATGTATTGGACTGTCTGAGGTTTCTGGCATACAGGGGTTTGGGGTTCTGGAATCTCTTCAGTGAGATTTACCCCTGTGAAAGAAGCATCATGGGCTTACGTCTGCACGGCGGCTCTCATTAAGGTCTGTAGACCTCCGGTCTGTGAGCATTTTCTCAATGACTTCACCACGGGTCCAGCCTCCAAACACAGCCTTCCCATACTGGTATCCCACATCCTGCAGGAAAAGAGGGAAGCTGGGGTGTCTTGACACCATCCCCAACGCCTACACCTACATAGTTTCCTTCAAACTGCTCGTCTAATACCCGATGTTCTGGGCAAGCAGGAATCTGAAATTACTTTTTTTTTTTTTTCTTTCAGATACATAGCATTCCACTCATTAGAAATGGCATCAGAAGGCTGGGTGTGGAGGCACATGCGTTTAATCCTAGCACTTGAAAGACAGAGGCAGGCAGATAGGCCAGCCTGGCCTACAAGTTCCAGGCCAGCTGAGGCTACAGGGAGACCCTGTCTCAATCACTACACAGTGCTTCAGGCACTGCAGCTAGCACATAACAAATTTAGTTCAAACCTAAGTGCACACACATTCATATCCCTAGCATATCCACTGCAGACATTATTAATCAATTACCCATCTACCTCATACAGGTTTCATGTGGATCAGTAGAATCTTTCCCTCCTTAAGTACTAAAGCTCTGTGGGCCCACTGCAGTGTTACTATGTCAGCATTACAGTTATACCTGAATAAACAGAAGACGGACTCTTTAGTTGTAAGAGTGGGCCTGAACTCAGAGGGCACCCCTTCCTCCAGATATCTCCTGGGACTGTGCTGTTGATCCAGGCCTCACCCATACCTCTGTTCAAAACTGTTTCTCTGTTTCAATTGGGGAACTACAAGCTTGGATCCACCCTTATCAGACAATTCTGCCCTTTCATCATCCCTAGGCCTAAAACGTTTCACACACACGATGTCAAGCATTCATCTCAGTCTTCAATGAAGATGTGCTGCCCTTCAGAGTTGATTTGCTAATTGAAGCACACTTCTATTCATTCACTATCTTGGACGGAAGGCAAATTGAGGATCTGAGGGATCAAAGTCACGTGCCCAGGTCACAAGAGCACATGACTCAGTGAGCTTGTTTGCAAAACTAAGTAGAAGTCATCAGTCCAGATTCTGTTCATTTTGTAAGTCATTCCTACACCCACCAAGCCCACACTGTCTTCCCTACCCACTTACATAGATCTGATCGAACTTTCCAAAGTCCATGGTCTTGAAGCAGTCGATGGGTGGGCGCAGGTACTCGCAGTAGGAGCTGGACTTGACCACCTCCAGCTGCCGCACACAGGACACATAAGCCAGGCGAGACTGGATCTCAGCCATGTCTGGGACCTTCACTTTATCTGCCCATGGGTTTAGCCGTTTCCACAGCAGCCACCAACCAGACAGGCTGTCCCCATAGGTGCTGAGGTCTGTTTCATCCTGGCTCCCCACATCAATGGCGATGACAGTTTTGGCACCCATGCTTCGGGCGATGTCCGCTGTGGAGCCCGGAGGTCAGCAGGCTGCTCCCAACAGGGGCTCAGCAGGGCAGGGATGTCCAACACCCCCAGTCCCACAGACACCACCATGCAAATGGCCACACAGGGGAAAGGGACGTGTAAACTACATGCTTTCATGCAAATGGAATGGAAATTCATGTATATGAAGTCAAGGGAAGTGTCAAGGGTGATGGTTTAACGAGGATGGTGGTTATGTCTGTAGCTGGCTGGCTGCATATCTGTGTACCCCAGAGAGAGTCCTCAGATGGGTCTGAGAGCAGAGACTGTGTCCTATAGCCCAGCCCAGCCAAGGAGACACCCAAGTGTGTCTATTCAACTTTGCACACATATTTGTTCCCCCTGAGTTTATGTTTTGGTCATGTGTATCATGTGCAAGTGTTATCTGTTCATTTCTGAGACCTTGTGGGAAGCAATGTATCTGTGTCTCTGTAGCCACAGCTAGGCCTGTCAGCAAATGCAGACTAGCAAATGTTCATATATGTTTGTGTGTGGAGTGTATGCATGTGTGCAGGTGCATGCACACATATGTATGTGTGCATGTGTGTGTCCGTGTAGAAGCCAGAGGTCAACATTGGGTGACTTCCTCCATCACTCTGTACCTTATTCAATTTATTTGTGTGGGGGGTGTTATTTTCTTACGATAGGGTCTCTCTGTAGCCCCAGCTGGCCTGGAACTCGCTTTGTAGAGCAGGCTGGTCTCAGTCTCACAAAGATCCACCTGCCTGTCTCCTAAGTGCTGGGATTAAAGGTGTGTGTTACTACACCTAGCACCTTAATTTATTTTAAAGACTATTTCTTTTTATCTGCCTGAGTGTATGTGTACTACATGTGTGCAGTGCCTGCAGAAGCCAGAGGAGGGTGCTGGATCCCCCTGGAACTGAAGTTACAGCAGTTCTGAGCTGGTATGTGGGCACTGGGAACTGAACTCAGGTCCTCTGGAAGAGCAGTCAGTGCTTTCAACTGCTGAGCCATCTCTCTAGCCCTGCACCTTTTATTTTGAGACAGGGAGCTCATGTATTCCACTAGACAGACTGGCCATCGAATTCCAGAGACCTTCTTCTCTCTAAGACCCTGACAGTGCTGGGGTTATTTTTTAAATTATGTATTTTTATTTTATGTATATGAGTATTTTGCCTACATATATGTAAGTGTATCACATGCATACAAAGCCTGCAGAGGCCATCAGATCCCCTGGAACTGGAATTAAAGATGGTTAGCCTCCATGTGGGTGCTGGGAACCGAACCCAGGGGCCTCTGTAAGAGCAGCCAGTGCTCTTAACCACCGAACCATCTCTCCAGTCCCACACTACTGCTTTTTCACAAGGATGCTGGGACTGAAACTCAGGTTCTTATGCTTGGTTGCAAGCACTTTACTGACAGACTTGTTCCAAGGCCCATATGTGTTTGTGTGTCTGAGTGTGTCCACCCACAAATACATCTATGCACAGCTGCTGCAGTGTGAGGGGCAGTGTGTTCATGTGTACAGCACATCTACAGAGGTGGCAGGAATGGGCAAACCCTGTGACAAAGGCCTACAGAGCAAATGCTTTCAGCTTTGTCTCCATGTTTCATCCCTGTCATTGCAATGAGAAAGCAGCTGCAGACAAGAGGCAAATCACAGGGCAGCACTGTTCCAATACAGTGTCATTTGTCAGCCTAACATGGCGGCACCTGCCTATAATTTTAGCACTTGGGAAGTAGAGGTAGGAGGATTAGGAGTTTAAAGCCAGCCTCAGCTGCAGAGCAAGTTCCAGGCCAGTCTGGGCTATAGAAGACTGTCTCAGAAAATAAAACAAGGGGCTGGTGAGACAACTCACCAGTTAAGAGCACTGGTTGCTGTTGTAGAGGATGTGGGCTCAATTCCCAGCACCCACATGGCAGCTAACAACCATCTATAACTTCCAGTTCCAGGGAATCTGATGCTCTCTTCTGGCCTCCACAACCATTGCATGTGTGTGGTAAATTTACATACATACAGGCAAACCAATCATACATATAAAATAAATAAAAATTAAAAAACGAAAACATAGCTGAGCATGGTGGTACACGCCTTTAATCCCAGCACTCAGGAGGCAGAGGCAGGCGGATCTCTGTGAGTTCAAGGCCAGCCTGGTTTACATAGTGAGTTCCAGGACAGCTGGGGCTATAGGGAGACCCTGTCTCAAAAAGACAAAAAATAAATAAATAAATAAATAAATAAATA